CCATCCCTGAAGGTCATTAATCAACCAGATGGGATCTTACAACAATCTGGTCCTTTTGCAATCGTTATAAAAGAGACCAGCATTTTATTTTGGATTAATTAATTCAACTGAATTTGCTCTGTCATGGAATTCAAACTTCAAATTGTGAGTCCAGAACTCTCCGTTATGAATTCAATAACATCACCACTACATTACTACTGAATGGCACAATTTGTACTGAAATTAAATTTTCCCTTTTCGATTGGTGATGCCACTCTGAGGAAAATTAATACTTTATCTCCCTCCTCCAAAAAAGAATTTGCCAAACACATTTTTTTCTCTCGAAAGCATTGCCCCTGAAAGGGATTAGCTTAGCTGTTTCATTGCTGAAAATATTTCTCTCAGGAATTCCTTGTGTCTATTCTCTTAACTATAAAATAATACGCAAAAACAGTTAATGATCTCTTCCCCTTGAGAGTTCAAGCAGAAATTACTCAGCTGTATAAATCTACATCCTAGCAGCAAGTGACTTTCTCACTGTGCCCAGAGTTCACCTTTTAGTTAAATTGTCTGCTAAAAAAAACTGAGGAATGTTAATGTGGATTTCAAAAGGGCATTATTGCTGGTTGCATTTATTTATGAGCCAGAGATTTCGGGAAAACTAACCTGCTGAGTGTTATCCGGCAAGATAACAAATAATGCACATAAGTATTCTCTTCATTGCTCCTTTAAAAGTATTTTTAAAAGATGGGGATGGATTATCTTCACAACCAAACACCCTTGATATGTGGCTGAGCTTGTAACTGTCTCACACAGAATGAGCACTTTCACTGACCTGTCCATCAACACATAAAAGCCTTATTCCTTTTTTATCTATTCGGTCACTCAGCACCACAAAAGGGAATTGAGAGCCGGTTTTAATACAACACTGGAGACAGCACTGTCATACAGAGGTGACACTGACCCTGCAGAGAGGCAGAACATCACCTCTCTCCATCATGCTCTCTTCCCTCAAATGTTCAAATAATTGGGGGGCAAATATGGAAGTGGGCATGGGGATGTAGCAAGAGTTCCTATTTCCAACCACCTAAGCAGGCTAGCCATGTAGTTTTACACTGCTGGGCTGTATCAGCATTTCCCAACAATTGGTTAATGTCCTTATTCAGATCATATGTGGCTAGAAATTACTCGTGCGCTGTTGAAATGCTGTACATGCCAGGCAGCGGTACACGGTGCTGCAAATCCCCCACCTTCAATAATATAATGCATTCTCTACAGGCTGGTATCTTGCTGACCAGATATTATAATGCAGACTTATTGTTCTTTATGATATATCTTTAGGACAGTTTGCTGGCTCTTTGTAAGCACCTCAGACCCTGAATCATTCTAAACAGAAATACAATTAGCCGCTGCAGTCATCTGATTCTAATTATCTAGTGCCTACTTAGGCGAAGAGATAAATTCAATGAAATAACCACATCAACAGGGAACCAGACAAATGGCCAATGACTCAATGCCACAAAACTCTCTCATATCACTGGTCTGTCTAACACTCATTGACATAAGTCTTTCTTAGGCACAGCATGGTGGCTCAGTGGTTAGCACTACTGCCTCACAGCGCCAGGGACCCGGGTTCAATTCCACCCTTGGGTGACTGTCTGTGTGGAGTTTGCATGTTCTACCTGTATCTACATGGGTTTCCTTTGGGTGCTCTGGTTTCCTCCCACAGTCCAAAGATATACTGGATAGGCCATGGTAAATTGCCCATAGGTGTCAGTGATGTGTAGAATAGGGGGATGGGTCTGGGTGGGATGCTCTGAGGGACTTGTTGGGCCAAAAGGCCTGTTTCCAGACTGTAGGGATTCTATGTTAACACACAATGGCTCACTAAACACTTCCAAGAGCTTTGATTAATATCTATTGAGTTTTGGTTTGCATGATTGTTACTAACAGAATATCAGGTGGCACAGTGGTTAGCACTGCTGCCTCACAAAACCAGGGACCTGGGTGCGATTCCACCCTTGGGTGGCTGTCTGTGTGGAGTTTGCGCATTCTCTCTCTGTGGGTGTGCTCCAGTTTCCTCCTGCAGTCCAAGGTGTGTAGGTGAGGTGGACTGGCCATGCTAAGTTGTGCAGGCTCGGTGGATTGGCCATGCTAAGTTGTGCAGGCTAGGTGGATTGGCCATGCTAAGTTGTGTAGGCTAGGTGGGTTAGCCATAGGAAATGCAGGGTTGCAGGGTTACAGGGTAGGGAGGGTAGGGGGGGTAGGTGGGACACTCTTTGGAGGGTCAGTGTGGACTTGATGTGCTGAATGGCCTGATCCCACACTGTAGGGATTCTATTTGATTCATTTCGGGTCAATTTTAATGCAGGAATATTCAGGTCCAATATCATCCAGTGGTGTGATTCAAGAGCATGTATTTTCTTTTACATTTGTTGTGGAAATGTGGGTATTTCTGATGAGGTCAGTATCTATTGTCTGCTCTAACTGCCCTGGACAAGTGTGTTTCCCCTTGTAGGAGAATGCAGGACCTGAGGACTTAATCTCAGAATAAGATGTCACACATTTAAGACAGAGATGAGGAGGAATTTCGTCAGTAGTGAATCTGTAGAATTCTTCACCAGAGAGGACTGTTGAGTTTGGGTCATTAAGTGTATTCAAGACTGAAATAGGCAAATTTCTAATTAGTGAAGGAATTAATTAGATCAGTCATGACCTCATTGAAACTCGGAGCATACCTGATGTATCGAGTTGTTTATGGATTATGATTTTAAGGTGGTGCTGTTTGGCCCTATGTTAGTGTATTAATGTTGCCTCAGCTTGTTACAATTTTAAGGAAGCAATGAGTGTGATTTTCACTAATGATATAAAGAATCAAAACCCTCCTTGGTCTGAGACTGCATAAGTTTCATGAAAAGGCAAAAAAAAAGACAGAACAGCCAAATAAAAACAACTTGCATTGCTTGCTTCAGATACAGAGGGCAAGCTGAGGATAGGCACACTTTTCCTTGATCTGGACAACTGAAATTTCACTCTGATATTGACTGAATGGGGCACGAGAAACAGCTGAAAGAGTTCAACATTTCCACCACGTCGTTAGCCATAGAACCTTTTCCTATTGTTAATTCAATGACATCTGGGGAGTTAACAAAATGATAGAGAGGCTTATTGAGTGAACAGAGCTTCCATTGAGTAAAAACTGAAAGAACTGCGGATGCTGTAAATCATAAACAAAAATAGAAATTGCTGGAAAAGCTCAGCAGCTCTGGCAGCTTCTGCGGTGAGAAATCAGAGTTAACGTTTCGGGTCGAATGACCTTCCTCCACACACAGGAAGGGTCACTCGACCCGAAACCTTAACTCTGATTTCTCTCCACAGAGCTTCCTTTTAATTTGATGTATCCATGCAGATTAGACATAGACAGAAGTTTCACCAATGAAAACTCCTAGTGTTCCCCGAGGACAGGATGCAAGCCCTTTGCAATTCAATTCCTACTGGAGAATGGCCCATGATCTAAAATTTGGCACTAAACAGCCAAGAGCAGTGATTATTGAGAAGATAATGACAGTGACCTCTGTGGACTCAATGATAGACTTTTAAATAAAAAGCTTCCACAAACGCATGCATTTCCTTCCAGTTAATATACAGCATCTCAAGATGGCAATGTTATGATAAATGACATTCAGCTCTGAAGACATTTCTTTTCCATAAAAAGGGATGTTTAAAAGTAGGGAACATATAAAAAGCCTTACATTCACATATGAGATATCAGTAACTAGAGTAACAATGCACAGTCTACTACTACAACAACAAATTAAGTTGTATAGCACCTTTAACATCATAAAACATCACAAAGAACAAAATACAACAGACACAGAGCCATACAACAAGATCTTTAGGTTAAATAACAATAATTTCATTGAAGAGGTCAGTTTTAAAGGGCGCCTCAAACGTGAACTGAGAAATGGAAAGGATTTCTGGAGCGTAGGACCTTGATAACGTAAGGTGCAGACACCAGCGGTGGAACCATTGAAGTCAAGGATGCACAACAGGTCAGAAAAATTTTGAGTCTCAATATGTCAGAGGATTGTGGAGTTGGACTAGGTGCCAGGGACTTTGACAGGTGAGAACAAGGATGAAATAGCAATCAAAACGTTTCCTGATCAGGAACCAGCATAAGTGATCAATGGATGGGACTTGGTGCAAGTTAAGAGACAGATGGTAGAGTTTTTTGGATGACTTCAAGTTTAGAGTGGATGGAATGCGGGAGATTAGTTAGGAGTGTGTTGGAATAGTTAAGTCTAGAAGCAAGGAATGCATGAGTGTTTCAACAGCAAGCTAAGTGGGGACAAAGTTGGGTAATGTTACGGAGATGGATTTAATGTTTGTTTAATCTCAGTCTATTCGGAAGAAGCTGATAATAGTTCTAAACATAACTGCCCCCTGCTCACTGTAGAATGGGTCTTATAAGAATTATGTTGGGACTTGGATTTCCTTAGTTTAAGAAGTCAATCCCAATTTTGACTAAAAAATTTGTTTAAAAATAGTTGCCTTTATTAAGGGAGCTCTGCTTTTTTCTAAACCAATTCAGTACATAGACAGAGATAGAAAGAACTGCTGATACTGGAGTCAGAGATAACACAATGTGGAGCTGGAGGAACACAGCAGGCCAGGCAGCATCAGAGGAGCAGGAAAGCTGATGTTTCAGGTCTGGAGCCTTCTTCAGAAAATTAGAAAATTCTGAAGAAGGTTCCTGACCCGAAACGTCAACTTTCCTGCTCCTCTGATGCTGCCTGGCCTGCTGCATTCCTCCAGTACATAAACAGGCCACATGTGGGACCATAGCTGGATGTCACTATGCGGGAACTACCCCATATGAGGTACTGGGACGGTAAAGTGGGGGTAACTCTGGAGAATGTGGCTCCCAGAGCTGCCCTCCTGGCTGGAGGTGGGTCCTAGAGTGAGCTGAGTGCAGTCAGTTGCATCTAATATTGGTTCAGAGTACAGATGTATTGGAGTACCTCCACCAAATGGAGCCCATATCACTCGCCTAATGGCTTTCACCCAATCTTCCATGTCATTCTGAGAATTTGCCATAAGAAGGAATGCTTCATGATTGACAGCCATCCGATCCCGGTCCCGATCCCCAGCACCCCCTAGAACAAAAACAAAGGAGAATCAACAATTTGAGTTGTCACAATTCTGATTGCATTCCTCTCGAAGAAGTGACGAGAACATGACAGACGCCTAACCTACCAGGAGGCACCTGAATTCAATGTTAAAAGGGGTGTCCTCATGCTTGGAAATGGAGAGTCAGTAAGACTCTACACTGAGGTTGAATCATTAAAAGGTTGACTGAAAGGGATGAGGAGGGGCGAAAATGAAATGAAGACAAAGAGGTTCCCTCCACCTTCTGGACATCCCAGGTTAAGGTACAATCAGTCATCTATCTCTTCATCACCATTGGCCAATTCTAACAATGTGGTATTGGACTGGGATCCCTGATCTGACCAGGATACAGGGGCTAAAGTCAGGCCTTCCAATGGGGTTGCTTTGTGGCCATGAAGAGTCCATTTGGCGAAACAGTTAATTATCTAGAGCTGATTGGAAATATGGAAGAGGTTATGGGGCCGGATCAGCGATTATGCTTATTATTTGTGAGCGGCAAAGTCTATAAATCACATTGAATGCCAAGACCTACCAGCCCCAAGCCAAATGCAGTGGTAGGCCTACTCTCTGGGCCACCCTTGGGGTGGTGCTCCAATAAGAAACATTTTCAGCATTTACTGGCAATGCTCCCAATCTCTAAACTGGTGAGGCCGTTTGAACCGCAGTCAAGCTCTACAACCTCAGTTCTGACACCCAATCTCTGATTGCAGCATTTAGATTCATAGAGTTGGTCAGAGTTCCTTAATACAGCAGTAAACAGAGTATTGCAGAGCTCAAAAGGCTAAACTTAATGATTGCTACCTACATATCAGGATACTCCAAACATTTACTCTGCAATAGTACATTTCGCATACCAGTTGATTACAATTACATTGCTTTTTCCACGTTCTGATCCCATGTCACTTTCACCCATACCTCCGTTCAGCTGGATGGGAGCCTGAAGGACACACACTTACGCATTACCTACTATAAATATCCCACTGCCATAGGCCTCCAGCTTCTAGCAAACATTAGAGAATTAGACAGAGCTCAGAAAACTGTTATACAGAATGTGGTTGCCTAGTAAATCAAACCAAAACATAGCACACTGTGCTACTTAAGATTTTTCATTTACTTTGGCAATAGTGCAGACTAAAAGTCATTGTGTGGTTGCAGGGTCACCAATAATTATACAGACAACTTTCAAGGAGTTTTTAACCAGACTGGCAATTTTAGTTAGTGGCACAATTTGTTAATGCCAAAGTTGAGAACACAAACAATAAATTCAGAGACACATTACCTCGGGTCTCAAAACTTTACTTAACCCTCTTCCGTCTCGTCACAAAGTCACACGAATCTGACAGGGCATTTTTTTTGGAAAGTCGTCACTGACAGTATAGACACAGGTGAAACTGAACCTCCGTCACTCAGAAACAACACGTGAAACTGCTGGGATAAATCGGGGTCATGAATCAGCAGTTGCACAAGTGCAGTCACTGAATTCGATCTCATCGACATGTCTCTGCTACTCCAAGCAAAACGTTCAATAAATTGGCCAGTGAAGAGCGCAATTTTTGATCGTGGAATGACATTCAGTTTTCCAATAGCCCAAATTCACAAACAGTAATGTTCCGTTCCTATCTAGAGTCCGCAGAGGGAACAGATATTGTATATGAATATCCCTGGAACTTCAAGGTCAAAAGACAGGTGAATGTCATGGAGGGGTTTACTAAGATACAATTTTGTTGACATAGGTACCTAAAAAGCAGCTCCACACAGATTTTAGGAACAAATTACTGCAGATGTTGGAATTGGTACCAACAAAAAAAATGCTGGAAATCACAGCAGGTCAGGCAGCATCTGTGAAGAGACAGCAAGCTCTGATGAAGAGTCATCTAGACTAGAAATGTTAGCTTGCTCTCTCTCCATGGATGCTGCCTGACCTGCTGTGATTTCCAGCATTTTTGTTTTCTCTACACAGTGAGATGATGGCTTAACATTCGATTGGAAATGTATGAAGAAAATCTCTCCCAGATGGCTCAGGAATAAATGTACTCTTTAATAAAGGCTTCTAATGAGCTTGAGCCCTGATCTGGGTGAGCTTTGTGGTTCTCTGTCACTTTAATAATAAGAAGCCTCTTGGTCTCAGGGCTCTTCTGCTACAGAACAAAACAAAAAAAATCATTATCCCATATCACAGATTATAGAAATTTGCAGTAAGGAAGGAGGCCATTCAGGCCATCATGTCTGTATCGGATGACTTGTTGCCACAACAGTGAAAATGCTGGGGGATAGTATCAGACTTAGCTCTCCTCAGATTAAGGAGATTCAATGCCAGGACATACACAGAGAATGACCATTTTAGCAAATGACCTGCCAGCCGCAATAAGTGAACTCAAGAGTAGAGGTGAAGATTGGAAATAAAGGGAAGTAAGAGAAACACTACACATCAGGTTGATGCCTCCATCAGCAAGATTTTGACAGATTTCCTGGTTACAATTAATGCCCTTAAAGTGTCCAATGTTAAATTTATTGGCTGAAATTGACTCATTTTAGGATCCATTCTAACAGTCTCCAACTACCTTCAACCAGGACAACAGCTCTGGGAAAAATTTGACTTGAATGCTAAGTGGAGTTCATCAAAAGTCAAGAGTTCAGCAGCAGAAGAACGGCAACAGTGTGGGTTCAGTTCCCGCACTGGCTGAGGTTACCATGAAGGACTCTCCTTCTCAACCTATCCCCTTGCCTGAGGCGTGGTGACCCTCAGGTTAAACCACCACTAGTCATCTCTCTCTAATGAGAGAGCAGTCTTATGGTCCAGTAAAACCGTGGTGACTTTACGCTTTTGGAAGAATACTTCAGATTTTGAAAGGGAAAAGTATGACATCCTTCCTATATGCCTTAAGGGGATCATTTACACGTTCCTGCTTGTTATTGAAGGGGAAAACAAAAGCTGTCCCATTTTCACAGGGCCATGACATTAGTCTTAATTACTTAGCCACTTGAAGTGTCAGTTTGATTTGGTTAGGAGCACCTTCGCTTCTTTGGTAGAAGATTGTGGAGTCAATCTACCCAGAGCCACATTCCAAGATATACCTGTGCAAGTTAATGTGGTCAGGAGTCACATGACACCAGGTTACAGCCCAACAGGTTATTTGAAATCACAAGCTTTCAAAGCACTGCTCCTTCATCAGGTTTACCGTATCGGATTATAACCTTGGTGTCATGCGATTTCTGACTTTGGCCACTCCAGTCCAAACCCCACACCTCCACATCAAGTTAATGTAATATGTGTTCCTATATTAAAGAGAGCAGCTATTATAGTTGTCCATCGAGCAGAGAATATTATTTCATTTCCTCTTGGTCGGCCCTCACAGAGTGCCAGCTGTTTGCTCAACTGACCGACATAAGAATTGTGAACACGCTTCAAAAATCACCCAGAAGATCCTGACAATGTAACGAGGTGCTGTATAAATATCACCTTTCTTCCTCCTTCAACCAAATGAATGAACAGTAAAGCCCTGCAGTCCACAGGAGTTACATTCCTCAAAAATTCCGTAAATGGTGATTTTACAAAAGAATCGCAGAGGTCTACAGCATGGAAAACAGTCACTTTGGCCCATCGCATCTGCATTGGTGGAGCCCAAATGGTGCCTATGTGAGACTATGTATGCACCGTGACCAATTCCTATCCCAGGAAGTAAGTGTGTTTAAATGTATCTTTTTTCTTTAAGGCGCTGGATAAGTGAAGATTAGACTCAGTGAAATGTACAGTAAATTTACATTGAAAAACAAAGTTGGAGACATGGATGACTACACCTGGCAGTAGTTACATTTTCAACAGCAATGTTGTATTTCTCAGACTGGTAGCTAAGAAGCTGCTGATCATTTAAGAGGAAATCCCATCGGAAGTCCTTTATTTCCATAGGCTCCAGAGGACATTTCCACAGTATTGATGTACAAACCTCCTGTCTGCCTGTATTTCCGCATGGCTGCAATTGTCAATATACTCCTTCCCTGTGCTCAGGACATTAATGACAATTTCATGGAAAACTAATACATCCCTGGACAAGGGCTGTGTCATTGTCAATACTCAGCGAACGCCCAGTGAGAGGAACCACATTGTAGGACTTTAGCAAGAAACTATCTTCTAAACATTAAAACAAGACGGGATGGTTAAGGGGTCACAGAGTTATAGGTTGTGGGGTAGCTCAGAGTTCCAGTCATTGAGTTGACAGTCTCTGTCGATGAGAACAATTATTGTCCTAACTGGAGTTAATCAACACTAATGCTATCGGACTTGCTTTCAAATTGAAACTTCAGAAAACAGTAGTTTGGGGAAACCATTTTCAGCTGCACCCAGAGTTTTATTTGCATCTTCCACATTGAATCTTAATCACAGGCATCAAGATCCATCTAGTGGCAATCACAGTGATAAGGATTATTATCATTATTTTATTTTGATGGAGTTGCTCAACTTCATTAATGACAGAAATACAGCACCAAGTTGGACAAGAGCACAATTATTTTTAATGATTCTATGTTGTTGTATATTCAAGGTCATTTGGATCAGGGATTCGTCCCTGAAACACAATGAATCAATCCTCTTTTAATAGCTGAACATCTATCTACCTTCTTACCCAATCACTCTATCCTTTTGCCTCTCCCATTAGTTGTCTCTTGAGCCCATATTTTGATACTTTTGATTTCCATAACAGTTTCCCAATGTATTATTCCCAACTTTCTTACTCCTTGTCCTGCCCATATTGCTGTCACTCTGCCACCATCCTACCTACTAATGTTGGGCTGGACACTTCCACTACAGTAAGATTCAGCTGACCTACAGGAAATGAGCACATGTAGATCTAAAGTGCAAAATAACATATGGGGTCATTGGTAGTAAAATAGTTTTGACTTGGGTGCAGCTGTGTAGTTAGGAGCACCAGTGCATTTCCTGTCACATTGCCATGTCAACTGTATGAGTTAAAACCCACAACATAGCTTGATA